TCCCTTTCAGCAGGAAAGCGCTCCCTGGATCCCTGCGCAGCCTCGCGCAGCCAGAGCACACGTGTTACTGGGGAGACCCCGGTCAGGGCGTTCCCCATCCTCGGTTCTTCTCTCACAAGAGGTGAAGTCAGGCAATGAGATGGCAAGTTGATTTATGAAATACACTTGAGCACGAAGCTGCAAGCTGGCTGGCAGCTAGTCTGAGTGCCCTGTCTACTGGGGCTTTAGGGACTTTGTACTTGTAGCCAGTCTCTTGGTTCCCCCTCCCCCTCTCTTCTCCGGACCTTGCGATTAACGTGCAGTTTCAAAGGCTTCCTTTCCCAGGTAGTGGAAACAACACGCAGAATTCCAAAGGTTTCCCCCACCCCGCCTGCACTTATCATAGTTTCTCTTGTGATCTTCTGAACACCTAGCAATCTTTTTTTTTTTTAGATTTTATTTATTTATTCTTGGTGAAAGGGGAAGGGAGGGAGAAAGAGAGGGAGAGAAACATTGATCAGTTGCCTCTTGTATGCACTCTGACCTGGAATCAAACCTGCAACCCAGGCATGTGACCTGACTGGGAATTGAACCAGTGACCTTTCGCTTAGCAGGATGACGCTCAGCCAACTGAGCCACACCAGTCAGGATAGGAAAACCTATTTACTTTTTTGCCTTTGTGCCTGACTGATGACCCTCATCTAACCTATCTGAAGAACGAGGGACCAGCTCCAGAACATGCTGGAAGGAGGGCGTGGCTCTCCAACATGAACTTTATAAATCTTCATATAGGCATCCCATCCACCCACCCATCCATCCATCTGTTCTTTTAACACATATTCATGGGGTATCCACTCCAGAGGCTGAAGACGTGCACACAGACAATGATGCACACAGACCCTGTCCCTGTGGAGTTTAGTCTGGTGGGAGATAGAGACAGGTTATCAGGAGAAAAAAATGCAGTGTGACGTGTGCTGTGATTGGGGTCATATAGGGCACTGAGCAGGGGACCTGAGTTAGTCTGTGATGAGAGTCACGCAGAAAGTTCAGTCTTAGGATGACTTGAAAGATCAACAAGATTTAACTGGTCAAAAGGAGAGAGGCAGACAGGGAATGTATGTCAAGAAAAGCAAGAGCATGGGTACCTCCAAGGGACCTTAGACAACGCAGGGCCAGGTGCGGATCTGCAAACTGTTGAGTCAAGGCAGGAACAGTGAGCGCTGAGGCAAAAGAGGGAGGCAAGGATGGGATCTGGAAAGGTCGCTTAAGCACCTCCTGAGCACCTTTCAAGGTGCCGAGTGGCTATAAAATGTGTCAGACGGAATGAGGGGGCCCAGGTGGAGAGGCAGTGTGAGACGTGGGACAGTGAGGAGCCCGGAGTCAGGCTCTGCCTCCAGCACTCTCAGAACTCTGAGCAAGATGACTCAGAGCTTCCCACTCCGTGCGTGCGAGTCCTGTCCACTGCTCCCCACTGTCTCTGGGCAAGCTAGCCACTCCAGAGGGGCACTTTCGGTGCTGGGGAGTACATCACCTTTCACTGAGGAGTGGGGTGAAGCTGTCCTTGTCAACAGCTCCAGGGCACCTCCTCAGCCCTCCATCTTTGGCCCTCTCTCTGTGCCTGAGAGTATTCTTGTCCTCTTCTTCAGCCAGGATTTGATAGCCATCCCTACCCTGTCTTCTCTCCTCTAGGCTGGACAGCCTCAGGTTTCAGTCTCACAGATCACTCCTGGTGCTCCCTGCCAAGTACAGCCATCCTTGTCTTTTCAAGACCACTTGGGCCCTGGCCCTGTGGGCCCCAGGCCCAGCCTGCTCAACCCCGGTTGCCTCAGGGGTCTCTGCCTAGGCCTGCTCCATGTGTCCAGCTCTGAACTTTCTAAGAACTACCTTCAGGCCTCAGCCCCAGCTCTATCTCCAGTTTATCTGCCACCTGCTTCAGAAGATAAGCAGGTTCTTGTGAGCTGGGGACCACCTCTGCTCTCCCTAGGACTCCCTCAGCTGTTCTCGGGTAGCCCTCTCCTGGAGGATCAACGATCAAAGTGCAGGATAGGTGTTTTCTGAAAGGACTCCTCCCTGAGATAGTGCAGGCACCTGTCACAGGAGGGACCCCAAGAAAAATGAAAGGACAACCCCAGCACCTGCCACAGTTGTCCACTGTCCTTTACGAGCTGTGACTAAAAGGACAGTTACTTTCAGGGCTAATTGAAAAATAAGAAGGTGGGTCCGACTGGGAAACGGAGTAAAGTCTGGCAGAGACTGCCTGGCAAGGGAACAGCCCTGTGCTGCGAGTGACGGCGGGAGACTTCCCACCGGCCTCGGGACACTGCTTCTGATATGCATTCACCACCGATGGGGCCTGGCTGCTGGGATGCGATAGTGCCCCAACGCTGGTCCTCAAAAGAAGGTCAGCAAGGGTCCCAAGAGGATATGGGCTTGTAAATGCAAAGCCAGGATGGGGGTTGGTGTTTCAGGAAAAGAACAGCCATCTAATTTGGAAACACTGAGTTTTGCCATCACGGGGGGCCAGGGCATGGAAGGCGAGGCAAAGAATATAGACAGTCTTGGCTGTGAATCTGGGGTTTCTGTGTTGCCCACAAGCTGTGTGACCCTGAGCAAGTAACTTCACTGCTCTGAGCCTGCATCACAGTGCTGGTGTAGAGTGGCTCACCAGGGATGCCGATTACACATGTAGTGGATGTTGTTCCTCCAGGGGAGGCCCCGCCAAGTTTCCCCTGTCGCTTCTGCAGAGCCTGGGGCCAAGGGAGAGGCCTCCTCCAAGGTGAAACAGAGCTGGGGTATTGTCCTGGCTATGTGAAGCCCTTTGTTTATCCCTGTGCTCCCTGACTCTTCCTCTCCTGGCCCTGAGCAGGTGGCAAGTTGGCTTTGTGGGAGTGGAGTAAGCCACAGTCTGTGCAGAGGCGTGGCTGTGGCCAGTCTGTCCTGTCTTGCGGTAGCCTTCCACCCAGCTTGGTGCCAGGAGTCCTGCCACCAGGATCTAGCCACAGTTCTCTGCACACCCTGCAGAAGGCACTGTGTGTCTCCTTCACACAGCCCTCAGGGGCTCCCAGAGGATCTCACAGGCATGACAGCCCCGGTCATGCACGCCATTGTACACCCTGGAAATGTGGTTGTGGGCTCTCGGTCCTGCCCTGCATGGACCCGTGTTTCAACCACACAGAAGCTTCTGTTCTCTAAAGTTCACCCCGCTTCCACGTTTCCCCCCGGGCTGTGTCTACTTCCTGAAACATTCTCTCTGGTGGTGCTCTGTCTGCTTATCTTGGCACGTGCAGATAATCACACTCTAATAATCAACAGAAATATGGATTGAGTTTCTATTGGGTGCAGTATGGGGTGGGGAGGGGTGAGGGCACCAAGAGACAGAGGCTCTGGCTAGACAGACGGCGGGCAATTCCTTCCAGCCCACAACCGGCACCTCCAACACTTACACGCGTGTGCACACACACGCCATCCATTCTCCAGGCCTCGTTTCACTCTTCCACCTACTTGTGATCCTTCCTCCATTGCCTTGTGGCCAGATAAGGCTCAGTTTTCAAGTTTTAACTTAGACTGTCCGGAGCCCTGGCTCCGCATTCCTAGTACTCTCCTCTCACCTGGAGCTCCCGTGCTGGTTTGGACCTCCCCAGGGCATGCACAAAGCACACAGTCACATGCTGCTTAGTGATGTTCGCAGCCACGACAGACCACACACACAACAGTGATCCCGCAGATTACAATGGAGCTGAAAAATTCCCGTCTCCCAGCAATGCCGTAGCCATTCAGAGCACCGTCAGCGCACAAGCGCTACAATTGCCTACAGTAGTCGGTGCAGGAAGGTCCTGTCCAGGTTTGCAGCCTCGGCGTTACCAGTGGTCCATAGAACCTGGGCGTGTTAGGCTGGGCCACCCTGTTTTGTGTAAGTGCGCTGCACGATGTTCGCACAACGACAACATCGCCTAACAGTGCATTTCTCAGAACATGTCCCTAATGTTAAAGGTCACCCGACTGTGTTTAAATTCTGGGTCCTGTCTCTGTGTTCTGGGGCCTCAGTTTCCCCACTTATAAAATGGAATAGCAATAGCTAACTCATGGTATGGGTTGCACCAAGTAAATGCAATAGCACACTAAACAGCTTGTACCAAATGCTGAACAAATGTTAACTATTGTCAGCAGTATTTTAGCACTGAATGGGGCTCAATACATAATCAGTGCCAAATACTTGTTTGGTGGATGGATGGATGGATGGATGGATAATGAGTAAAAGGAGAGATTATTTCCAAAATATGAGACAACCTTTGCTGGTCCCCCATGGCAGTTCAGGAAAAAACCTAAAAATAAACCCTTAAATTTTATTGCATACCTACCACATATCAAAACTCAATTTACCATAAATTGTCTAATTTGAGCCTCACGATAGGAAGGTATTGCAGCAGAATGAGGAAGCGGCTGTTCTGAGAGGTTAAGTCCGTGGATGGACATCACGACTTTAGTAAGAGACAGTCGGGACTGGTAGCTTTGCAGTTTTCTAAGTTCCGGGAAGGGAGAGGAGGGCTCCGGGCCTTGGCTTCCCACAGTCTTAGACTGGAAACTACGAGCAGGCAAGGCTGCCCCACCCAGGGCCCTGTATAAACAGTTCAGGGAACCTGGTTGGGGGCATGACAGGAGGGAGTGAAGGCTGGGCTAGGGAGGTAGCTCAGGGAGTTGCCCTCTGGAGCCCAGCTGTGGGGATTCCCAGGTGCCCTTCCTTCTCCCGCTCCTCCAGCCAAAGCCCTTATACAGCCTTCATGGACAGAAGGAGTTAATTCTGTGTTTAACTTCTTGAAAGAGCCTGAAGCTTTTACTCCTTGATCTCACCCTCCTCCCTTTCTCTGCAAAGTCTTCCTGATCTTTATACTTCCTGCAAGTCCCTCCTCCTCCTTACTCTCACCCCCGGACTCCAAAAACACTAATTGCCAGGGTGGGTCAATGGTTAACGCTCCACCAGCTTTATATAAGCCTGCCCTGGCCACCTACCTGCTTTAGTCAGCCCTTAGTCCCCTGGAGTCCAGAAGAGACCATAGCTCCAGCTGCCCCCTTCTGGGTCCGCACCATGGCCACCTACTGTCAGCCCCTTTGGGCCTATCGCCTCTACCTGATTGTGGTGATCCTGCCCATTCTCCTGCTGCCTCTGCCCATCCTCATCCCCGATAAGGTAAGGACTTGGGGTTCTGGGCACAGAGAAGCTCTAGCGGGGCAGGAGACGGACTGTTTGGGCCAGGGTTGGGGGTCCTTAAGGCCAGCTTAACTTACTCATCTCTCCCAGCCTGGAAGTGAGGCTACAGTCTGCTGGCCTTCCCGAGGGATGAGGGTTAACAGAGCAAGGGGGGCATTTGCTTGTCGCCCAGGACTAAGAGCCCAGTGTGAGCTGTTCAGGTGCACTTGCAACCTACTGCTTTGGGAGTTAGGAAGCCAGTCACAGCAAAACAGGTGCAGGTGGAAGCAGACGGGGTTGTCTGCCTCCTCTGTGCCCAGCTGCCCCGGACTCGGCTCAGTGGCTGGTGAGCAGGGCTAGCCGCAGGAGGGGACAGAAGGGAATAGGGTGAACCTGGCCTCAGGCAGTCTGTGCCATTAAGAGTGTAAACAAATAGTGTCAACAATAAAAATAAAGAAAAAAATAAACGCGCTCAAAAGAAAAAAAGAGAGAGAGTATAAAGAGAAAGAGAAGGTACTCACCTGTGACCCTACAAGCTGTCTGCTGAGGAGGAGGTGGGACCTTGTCCGTGGGCATCGCAGACACCTGGATGGAGGGGGCGGGGCCACTGTCTCCGGCCCCCTGACCCCAGGTATTATACACTTTGGGGGTCCTCTTGAAAGTAAAAGAACACAAAATTACAAATCTAAAATTAGTGCAGGGCTTGGGGAAAGGTCTGTTCTGGACAAGGGCCTGGAAGCTCAAGCTTCACAGTAAATCTCCCTCGGGCAGGCCACAGGCTGAGAAAGCGGCGGAGCTGGGGGTGTGGTCCAGCTCCAAAGCCGGTGTTGTCTTCTGTCTGCACACTACCTCCACAAGGCTGGCAGAATCGTGACCGTGGCCCTGGCCCCACCCCACAGCCCCAGAACTGCCCACTGAGCCATTTCCTCCTTTTGTCACAGATAGGGAAATTGAGGCAAGCTTTTCATTCATGCTGTCCCAAGGGGGAGGGAGGCTGGAGGTGAAGGGGCACGGCCGCTCGGCCCCTGACATTTGCTAGGTGACAAGGCTTGGCAGACTTTTGAGATGGCCTTGGTCTCAGGCCAAAGCCAGCGGCAGGCTGGGCCAAGTGTGTTAGCCCCAAGAGAAGAGACCAGCAGGGACTGGGATTTTCATTTTACCCCCAGGAAGCACAGCCCAGAAAGAATCAGCAACTTGCCCAAGGTCACACAGGAAAACCTGGGTCAGTACTGGACGCCAGGCCTCCTGGTGGGGGTGCAGCACGTCAGGAGCCTCCGTCTTCCCTGTGCTGCACCCAGCTTCTGCCCACAGACACACCTCCCCTGCCCTGACTCAGATGGCCTGTCCCCAGCCCTACCTACGGAGGTCAGCCCCTCTGTCGGGCCCTCCGCTGGGACACTGGCTCCCAGCCCCTCTCCAGGGCTTTGACCCTGTAATTACCTTCTCTCTCTCCTACATCCAGTTCCCCTTCTCTGCCTGATCTCTCCCATAGCACACACACGTGTTGTAATATCTCCCGTCTTAAAACACAAGCAAACCCTCCTCTTGACCCCACATCCCCGCCACGTATGCCCCCATTCTCTCCCCTCTCACCGGAGGCCTCCCAGACCATCTGCACTGCACACGCCTCTCCTGAGACCACCCCAGTCTCCAGGACCCTACCCAGCCAGGGCCTCTTCTCTGAGTCCCATCAGCTTCCCAGTCACCAAACCTCTGGTCCACGCTCATGCACCTCAGACCCTCAGCAGCATCTGTCAGAGCTCATCACCCCTTCTTTGCAATCCTACCTCTTTTCGGCTTCGGTGACACCTTCTCCTGGTTTTCCTCCCCTCTCAACTTTTTCCTGGCTTCTCCTCCCTATTCATTTATTCTCCCCCTGGTGATCTTTTGCTGTCTCCTGCTTTAGAAAAAAAAAAACATCTCTCCCTGGTGGCTCAGTTGGCCGGAGCGTCCTCCCATATGTCAGAAAGGTTGCAGGTTCAATCCCCAGTTGGCGTGCATACCTAAGTTGCCATTTTGATCCCCAGTCTGGGCACATGTGGAAGGCAACTAATGATGTTTCTCTCTCACACCTCTCTCTCTCTCTCTCTCTCTCTCTCTCTCTCTCTCTCTCTCTCTCTGAAAAATCAATAGACATATCCTAGAGTGAGGATTAAAAGTAAATAAATAAGTGTCTCTGTGCTGATGAGTCCCCAAGCTGTAAGCCCAGCCCTAACCTCTAAACTTGCATTATCCAGCTAACACGAGACTCTTCCACCTGAGTGTCCTCTTTAGGCAGCACACACTTGTGCACGTCCAAAACACAGCCCTCGTTGCCCATCTTCTCCAGCTGGCTCCTCCCGCAGTCTTACTCGTCCACATGTGTCAGCCCTCTGCGTGGGAGCTATTCCTGACTCCTCTCTTTCTGTCATTTCCACATGCACCAGCAGGTCCTGTTGCCTCGACATCCCCAAAATACTCTGAATGGGATCACTTTCCACTGCCTCCGCTCTCGTCTGGGCCTCCATCATTTCTCGCTTATCCCCCATCCCTCCCCAGACCATCCTTCACCCCGCCACCTGGTCTTTTCAAAACGTAAGATCATGTCGCTACCCTGCTCAAAACCCCACACTGGCGTCCCACCAAACTTCAGGTAAAATCCAAACCTCTGAGGGCGGCCACGAGTCCACAGGGCTCCGCCCCCACAGACCCCTTGTCTCCACGCCCAGTGTCCTGTCTCCTGTCCACTCTGCTCCACTGTCCCCACCTTTCTCTCTGCTCCTCAAATTGCTCCTCTCCCTGCCTGGAATGTTCTTCTCCCAGATGCTTCCTTCTCCTCACTCCTTAGGTGTCAGCTTAAATTCACCTTAGAAAGGCCACCAGTCACTCTTTATTACAAAACCCCGTGATTTTATTTAGAGGGCTTTACTGTCTGAAATAATGTATCTGCTTATTTTCTATTTATTTGATGACTTTCTATGTTAGTATGCAGGCTCCATGAGGACAGGGACTTTGTCTTTTTCCACGCAGAATCCACAGTGCCTGGCACATAGTGGATGCTCAGCAAACACCTGTGGAAGGGAGGGAGGGAGGGGAGGGAAGGAAGGAGGGAGGGAAAAAGGACAGGAGGGAAGGAGGGAGGAAGGAATGTGGGCAAATAGAGCCTTGTTCTGAACTCCTGCTGAGTCCCTGCTGTCTGTGGTGAGTTCCTGAGCTGGCTTCCACGCCCCTGGTCCCTGGGAAGGAGACCATTAGTTCCAGGGTAGGCTCCAACCTGTGTCCATATGATAATGTTGACATTCATTTACTGAGTTTTTTCTATTTTTTAATTGATTTTAAAGAGAGAGAGGATGGGAGAGGTAAAGAGGGTGCAGAGAGAGAGAGGGAGGGAGGGAGACAGAGAGAGAAACATCAATTTCTCGTTCCACTTATTTATTTACTCACTGGTTCTAGTATGTGCCCTGACCAGGGATCAAACCCGTGACCTTGGGATATCAGTACAACTCTCTAACCAACTGAGCTTCCTGGCCAGGGCTTGAATTTTTTGATATGCTAGTCATGGTGCCAAGCACTTCAAAGCACTAAACCACTTTACAGACATGTAAATTTAGGCCCATAGTAGTAATTTGCCTGAAGTCCCAGCTAATAAAAGACAAAAGTCTGGACTGGAACCTCATGTGGGGGTCTCGGTCTGAGGCTGTCCCGGGGTGCAGGGTGGTGGCCCCGCTGAGAGTCAGGTCTTGAGCTACCCACCCCCGCGTTCACCCAGCTGTCAGCCAACCCTCCCACTGCCCATCAGCCTGGGATGTTGTTGAGCGCCTGCTCTATGCTGCAGGTTACCGAAACGGAGTGCAGACATCTTGCCCTCGAGTCATTCTCAGTGTAGAGGAACATGTGTGTACACAGACATACAGCCACAGGCCTGTGGGAGCTCAGGGGAGGGGAAAATTCTTCCCAGTGAGTCAAGGGAGAATCCGGGGCACGTGGCATTTGAGTTGAGCCTCGAAGGCTGAGTGAGATTCCAACAGTCAGAGGCATCCGCAGAGGGAAGGCCAGGTGAAGGGGCTGCAGGAGCAGAGGTGCAGGGGCTGGAGGAAGAGCTACAGAATCCTTAAAATGCCTGTCATCTTCTGGCGGTCCCAGCAGGTGGGGGAGAGTGGACCTGAGGCCTTCTCACTGCTCCCTGAGCCCTACAACCATACAGTGAAGAGATACCATCCGTCTGCCAGAAACCTCACATCCATTCACTCTCATTCACCCATCCATTCACTCACTTCTTAAGGGACATACAGTGTGTGATAGGCACTGTTTGGGAGCGTTGGTGGGGATGTGGTGGGAAAGCGGAAAGATACACAAAAAGCGTTACTGTCCATGCTATGAAAACCAAACAGCAAGCAGCGTCTGTGGCTTAGGGAGGGGCTGCTCTGGGTGAAGTGGTCAAGGAAGGCCTCCTGGGTGCTGATATTTGCCCGAGGACCAGCATGGCAAGTAAGAGCCAACCAAGCACAGCTCGGCAAAGAGAAGTTCAAGCAGAACACGCAATGCAAAGGCCTGAGGCCAGGGCTGAGCTCAGAAGGCGGAGGAATGAACACGGCTACAGTGGCACGGGGGCCGAAGTGAGGAGACCACGGCGTAAGTTTAGTTTAGCGAGCAGGCAGGAAGAGGTCAGCCAATGTCAGCCGTGTAAGCCCAGGGGGAGGAGTGAGGGTTTTGCGCTGAGGGCCCGTGTCGGGGTAAATACTTGCTCAGGTGTCAGTCAGCTAGTAAGTTAGAATCAAAACCACACATTTCTCCCAAGACCCAAGGGGACCTAAAAACAGTCTCTCAGTGGCACAATGTCTGCCAGGACAGAGCTTAGCCAAAATCTATATTGTATTTACAGTGAGAACAGAAGGTGGAATTCCTTAATCTGGATCACCTGTACTCCTAAGAAACGAACGTGTGCGTGCGCACACACTCAGAAATCTGTGTGACTAGAATACCCTTACTGCAAGCTGTCGCCGCACCCCAGAGATGGACTC